TTAGGAAGACGTTATTTTCCTATTACTGTATCAAAGTTGTTATTTTTTTCAACGATTTTATCATCTTTGCTATAACTATGGATTCAAGGTAAGTTGTTTTTATTGCCTTAAATGTGGTGTTTATATTTTTACTCATATAAATACTCATCCACGTGGTCGAACATGAACCACACTAGAATGATACAATGTTTGGAACATATTGCCCATTTTTTCTTGTAATGTGTCCCTTATTATTTGTTTGTTTTTATATGGAGTGAAGCATGCAATGCAGGTGCAGGTGCGGGGCTGTATACCAAAGTGGACGCTCGCTTGATTTGAAAATGTGTCAGTTGTAAATAATTGTTCGCAATGTCTGTTTATATTGTGTGTCTTGTCCGCGGCTTTGTCTTGTGATCGTATCTAGGGCGATCCTCCTGCATTTAATATTACCTTTGTAGTATGATTTATAGTAATAATACATAGCTATGATTTGTATTTGTTGTTTTATATGCTTATTCTTCCGAGTCGGACACGCAATTATGAATACACCCCGAAATCGCATCTAAAGGCATTTGAAGATATAGATAAATAAGTATTTTATAATTTGTGTGTATTTTATAATTTCAGAAGAGACTTGTTACATAGTTTTAAGAAGAGGGTATTAGAAGGACATCAATCTATGACATCTCTAGGAGAAGATGACGAGGATACTCCTTATCCAGCTCCTAGACCAATTACCGGTAAGTTGCTTCATCAGTTCATTTCCTATATCAATTACCCGTAAGTTCCTTCATTATTTAGTCCATTTCCTAGACCAATTACCGGTAAGTTCCTTTATCAGTTAGTCTATTGACTAGACCAATTACCGGTAAGTTCCTTTATCAGTTAGTCTATTTACTAGACCAATTACCAATAAGTTCGTTTATCAGTTAGTCTACTTACTAGACCAATTGCCGATAAGTTCCTTTATCAGTTAGTCTATTTACTAGACCAATTACCTGTAAGTTCCTTAATCAGTTATTACGTCGCCTAGATTATATTACCGGCTTTTTTTTAAAATTATAGTTAAGAATATTTCAATTACGCCCCTCCTAGATAAATTAATCATCCGAGAAGAGGCAATAAAACATCAGTTATGAATTATATTACAACTTATGTCACCATTTTCATTTTAATCAAATCACGTTTTCTTTCTGTTATTACAGGACTTCCGGAACCAATTCCGAGTGAAGTATTACAAGATGTATTTTATTCGGACTCCGAGTCCGAGCCAAGTTCTCAGGCTGAATCCGAAATGGACGGTAAATGCGTCCAAACTACTCTGAAGTCAGGGATTAAAATGGACAATAATTCAGGTAATTTCTATTTGATGTGTTTAACTGTATACATCTTATATTTTGCTCCATTATTTAGAGATATTAGGGTATTTGTTCTATCATTGAGAGGGATGGGGGTATTTGTTCTATCATTGAGAGATATTAGGGTACTACTATCTTTGAGAGAGATTGGGGTATTTTGTTCTATCATTGAGAGAGATATTAGGGTACTTGTTTTATAACTGAGAGCTATCGGGGTATCTAGGGCGGTTCTTTCCGAAGCCGATTAAAGTATATTTAGTATTTTAAAATTATTTTAATGTTACACTTTCAGAACCATCACTGAAGGGAGTCAGACGGGATGTTAGAAATTATATCCATAAACTTCATTCAACTATTGTTAATTTACATTTCAAAGTCCAGCATCTTTACAGGTAAATATATTCTAATTTATACTTGGTTATAATTTATAATAAGTAATACCTACCTCTATATCAAAGTTGAAATAAATATCATTTAATTTTGGAGTGAGAAATTAACATAAAAAGTTAATTTTTAGATTCCCCCCCCCCCTCCTAAAAATACCCAATAATTATTTAAAAATCAAGCTTTGAAAAAGATTTCCCTTTCAGGTATCCTCTAAACTATTTTAAAATCAAATTTTGAAATAGATTCCCCTTAATATGAGAGCGAAAAATTCCATAATCCGTTAATTTCAGAATGTCGCCCAATATATTTTAAACTCCATTAATTTTAGAGAGAATAATTTCTTAATTAGTTAATTTCTTTAAGCTCCTAAAATCACCTAGTTTCCTTTAATTTTAGAGTAAAGGAAACTGAAGAATTCCATAATAAGCAATAAGTGAATTCCCCCCACCAATATTTCACAATAATTATAATATATCCCGTCATTCAATCTTTCAGGGACAACAGCAACCTCCATTCAAAATACGACGATTGCATGAAGAGAAATGGAATTCTGCAAGGTAGTTTAGAGAAATCTGATAAGGAAGCTCAATTCTTCAGAAAAATCTTGGAATGTTCCAAATATAAAGGAGAAAATGGATTCATAACAGTTCAAGACCTGAAGACCGAGAAAAGAGTTAAGTTTTGTTATGGGAAGAAGGTACACAGTTGTAGTCCATTATTAGATCCTGCTGTAAAGGCACAGGTAGATAAACGACTGGAGGCCATAACACGACCCCGACCTGGTGATCAAAATGATAAGCGTGGAACACAGAGAGGAAGACCGTTGATTAAAGCTGATCGCAAATCCAAGGAAATGGAGAAGCGTGAAAGTTGTAAAGATTTGGATAGAAATATAAAACGGAACACTAATGGCGAGGACAAGGAAGATGGCTGCAGCAGCATTAAGAAGATCTCGGATAAGGAGACAATATTCTACACTATGGACGTTCATAAAAGATATCTGAAAGAGTGTGCGGCCGTTATCGAGGACAAAGCAAGTATCAAATTAAATGAAGGAGTGAGCAAAGGTATGGTAGATAACATCAATGGGAAAGATAAGGAACGTAAAACACTGGACATTGTAGATAACGGAAAAGATAACGTGCCGAAATCATCGGACATCAACAGCAAAGATAACGGGCCTAAAACATCGGACACGGTCAAAAAGAATAAAACCAAACCTAAAAGGCGCGCCAGTAACATGGAAACAACCTATGTATATACCATGATAGACAACGACACCCATTCATATAACATCACGGATGGATACTTGACTTGTCATATCTTAAAACCAGGTTATATAAAACAAAAAAAGAATACAGACGTCGGCAACACGGTACCTCTACCTACAGAACTTCGACCTGTTCCATCAGCGGGATCTCCTGCCATGACCAAACACAGGATTAGAAGAGTAACTCAGAGCACCTACGAAGTGATAACGTCTGACAGCGATTTATCGTCTGACAGCGATTTGTCGTCTGGCAGCGATGAAGCCATCTGCCTTGATGTCGATGCACTAGGTATAGAGGATGTTAAACGAATTTTATATGAGATAGAAAAACTAGAGAACCTTATGGAAGATTCGGGAGAAGATGCCCCCGCCTTTGAAGGAAAAAATACGATTAATAATATTCCATCGACAGAGGAAAATACAAAATGTAGTCTAGGAAAATATAAAACACTTCCACCAATAGGCAGAATTTCTACCATTACATCCAATCGCCAGAACCCCGAATATGCCCCCGCTTTGGAAGAAAGAAATGCCATTAATAATAGTCCATCGATAGAGGAAAATACAAAATGTAGTCTAGGAAAATTTAAAACACTTCCACCAATAGGCAGAATTTCTAACATCCCATCCACTCCTCAGAACCCAGACAATAAAAAAACAAAACAAAGATCTTCTTCAAATCATGGTACGTCTAAAATAAACAGTTATGCTTCCACTATGGTAACGATCAAATCCACGGGACCTTACGCTGGCGATACACCAAAACCGTCTTCCAAAGAAAACAAGAATAAATCTAGATTAGTTAAATTACTTCCTCAGCCAAAAGGACAAACTACTACTGGAAACAACTGTTCTAACTGTCCAAACATCAAGTCATCATCTAAAAATAATAACCAGACCCTGCCAAAGATCAAATCCATTAAACCTAAAGATTCTGATAAAGGGAGTGTTAAGTTAACGAAGAAAATAAAACTACCCGTTTTACCAAGTCTTATGAAAGCAACACAAGCCTTACCAAGAACGTATGAACCACGTCCTCCAACAACTAAACAGTTAAAACGACCTTATACTGGTAAATGCAACAAATTACCCTCTATATCACATAGTAAATTACAAAACAAAAATAATTTTAACGGATCATAAACTTTATATACGTCTATGTATGTTTGTTTGAATATATTAAATTAGAAACAAGATAATGTGACTTTTTACAGGTATATTTTGTATAAAAACATATTGGGGATATTGAATTAGGAAAACCAGGCACAATAATCACACAGGGACTTGAAGGGATTCAAATTTCTTATATTATTTTGTCTAGAGAGGGACACTATAGCAGTATGCTAGACAAGCTAATGTAAGAAATTTAACCTCTTCCAGTGCCTGTGAATTAGGTATAAAACATAGTGAAGATATTGAATAAGGAAAACCAGACATAAATTATCATCATTAAAATCTATTGTAAGGTCAAACCAATACTTTGGGAAAACCTGTTAAAATGTTAGTTCTCATTTCTTCTGGAAAAAAACTAATTCAAAAACAAAAAGTATTTGATTGCACATTTCAAAAGCTTTTAGTTCTAAATTTTTAAGTTTTGAAATTTTAAACAAAATTTTAAATTTCATTTGCCTTAGTTATTTATTTAACAAGTCTACGGTGAACTGATTTGACATGATTAAAATCTATAGCAATTGATCAGGGGCCTTATTCAAGAAAACTTAAATAAAACTATTTTAAGAATGCAGCGTTTTCATTTGCCAAGAGGTAAAATTTGAGCTATGATTTTAGTGTTAAGCCAATGAACCATCAGGTTTCTTAAAATATTTTAGTTTAAGTTTCGATGAATAAGGCTCCAGTTATGTTTGATTTAAGAAATGACATAACCATAGCCGTAAATAAACTTACAGACATCACGTATTATTGATAAAATAGAAAAATATACAAATAAACTTATATAATATGTATATCATTGTAAATATTAACTATTATTGTTTATATAGGGTTCATGTCTATTTTAATCAATTATATCCATTGATAGGCAAGTTATTATTTATTCAGGAAATACATCTGGGGTTTTTTTTTTAACTATTCTGTTTACATGTGCACTTTTTGAGACATGATTTTGTATATAACAATATAACAATAAAACCTTTAGATTATTTGTCATTTTATACGCATATTGTTTTAGTGATATTAAATTAAATATATTTCTTAAGACTTCGTCTTCCAACATTATCTTTTTTTTCTAGGATCCTTATCAGTGGCGGGTCCATTAATTATTCTGTCTCTAGGAAACGTGTAAATTTGAACTTTTTGTTGGGTCGGACGAAGTAGCTGATGGAATTGAAAGCTATACCCGGTCCATATATGTACAACAAATCACACACACACAACCAGTCGATAGTTCCGTGCTTTTGGGGAATTAACGGTTTAACTACAATAACAGTATTTTATTAAATCAGGCTGAGTTTCAGATATACATCGTGGTTGAGTACCGTAAGCGTTTGCTCTACTAATATCCTTTTCATTTAAAGTCAATATATTTCTATCTAAGTCGTGTTGCACAGTCGATTCAAAATAACCATTACCAGGTTCTGTAGTCATAATTACCTGGTAAGATATTATTTTCCAGTTCGATACAGAATAAAGGTTCAATAGATCGGCATGTGGACTATATTTTAGGATTTTTAAAACACGTTTTATTCGCAGTAAAGCACATTTTTTACGCATTTCTGAAGTTAATTCATTTAATTTTGAAATCACCGTATATATCACCCGTATTAAAACATGTGACTGTTCCACGGGTTGCCAGTCTAAACATGCACACCAATGTGTGCTTAATCCTGCATGCAGACATGTACGTTCTTTGGGAATTTCTTTGAATAAACTAATTCCCCGCTTTGAAACGTTTCCCATTCCTGTTCCAGTAAAATTAAGGATTTCTTTGAGAGTTTCATATATATCCAAAGGGGTAGTTAATCGATGTGCATTGATTTTGAAATTCCTAATAATTTCGGGATACACACGTTCAAACCATGGCGGAAATCTGAAGGAAAAAAAGGGCATTCTTTCCTCCTGTTTACCCTGAACTGTTGACCGAAAGTTTTCGAACCTGGCTCCATGGTCACTCATAAATATTAACAAAGTTTCATTTAGATGTCCACTGCTTTCTAAATATGTCAATAGCTCAACAATATCTTCATCCATATATTCGATATTATTGTTATTGTCATGACTGATTTCACTGTGGAAACCAAACATAAACTTTCTCTTGGATCCGTACACTTTGAACATATCTTTAAGATATTCCATAAAATAAATATGTTTAGGTTTAGAACCATAACAAAATGGTCGATTGATAGGTGGGTCCTTCATAAACAAACTTAGGAAGGAATGTAAATATGACCTTAACAACGGCATTACTCCATATTCCAATTCAAAATCCGCTGCGACATAGAAAGGTCTTAGGTAATGATCTGTAGGTGGACTCTGAAATCCCGTAAACTTAGACTGAAAACAACCGAGTCCAGGGACATCATCGGCCCAAAGAGTAACATAACCTGCTCGTTTAAAGTCTTTCCATATTAAAGGCTTTTCGTCAAATGTTGTCGCTCCCTTGAAACCCTTTCTAACCTCCCCTAGCTCTCCCAATAAAAGCCCCGTTAACATGGGTGCAAGTGCGGTAAGAGTAGCGTCTCCAACAATATTATAGTTCTCTAATTCTATTCCTTTTAAAATGTTCAAAAAATAATCTCTAAATTTAGGAAGTTTTCTTATGGATGTCATTCGGGAAACGGAATCCAATCCAAAGATAAAAACATTTAAATCTATGCGTTCGTGTTGCTGCTTTGGTTGCTTTAGACTGCTGAGTATCTTCGGATTATATGCAACTCCCATGTGTCTGTTGGTATAAGAACGTCCTTGTCTTGAGTCACATTCTGCTCTTAAGAAATCGGAGAGTAATAAAGTTCCATTTTTGATATTTTTAATGCAATTACCTTCGACAGTATGAAAATCGTCCCGGAAAAGTAAGGGGTAAATGTCACAGGTAATATCGCCATATAATTTCTGAATGTTTTTCGATATATAAAACGTGCCGTTGTCAACGTACACCCAATTCTCTTCTTCCCTACACTGCAATTTGGGAATACTGTAGAAATATTTAGCTAAGGAGGGGTGGTAAGGATCTAAATTTGGATGAACACATGCTGTTCTTGAATCATTTTGTAGTTGTAATTTTCGAGGAAGATTTTCGGTTGAATGACCTTTTCTAGCAAAGTATTCGTTTAAAATCTGGGCGTAAACTTGTTCGTCTTCTGTAGAAATAGCCTTTGGTTCTTTGTCAAGATTCTCTGTTCCTTTATACCTGTACGTACAGTGTGCATGTTATATAATATGATGATCGCCAGAAAACCAACAGAGATAAGAAATAACAATCGGTTCCGTTTCTTCAAAAACCAAATTATACAGTGTTTGGCGAAACCATACACATTCAACATATAAACCATTTTATCTGCAATAGAAAAAGAAATTCTATGATTGTCAGAAATGAAATGAAATGAAATGGGGTTTAACGTCCTACTGTTTTGCTCTTAAACTGGGCTAATGAAGACACGGGCATACGCCATACAGTGTGCTATGAGGGAAATTTTGCCCGGGCAGCGGCGCTACGGCCTACTCTTATATCGAATTCCAACTGCCAAGGGATCTTTTACGTACACGGGACCTCGGTTTTTCGTCCCATCCGAACGACTAGACAGCTGTCCTTGTCAGGCCCTCCGTCCTGCATCACTGACAAGGGGAAACCACGCCGGAAAATCTGGATGAACTTTCTTGGCCAATGCAGGGATCGAACACCCGACCTCCAGGCTAGCGAGCCAGCGTCTTACCCACTTAGCCACGTGATCCCTCTATGATTGTCAGGAACTAGTGTGGTTCCGTTTCGATCCCTGTGTTGGTCGAGACAGTTCTCAAGGAAACTAACCAAGAGACCCAGGTATCGATCCGATGTTCCTAGAAAAAGATGCAACGTTTTACACCTTAAAGCCACAGAGATATGCATTAGATTTCTGCATGCTTTTCAGGATACTTATTGATCAGTGAAAACCATTTTTGATCTTAAGGATACTGATAATCGAATTTTGAACTAAATCTTCCAATTGCAGGTCTATTTTCTGGCTTATCTAACTGGTTATATTTAGACATTTTATTCACGTGACAAGCCAATACTCAACTCTCTGGGACATCGGATGGCGTGGCTATTGGTTGAATTAGGCAAAACCTCTCTTAGAATAAAGTAATTTGACAAAAAAAATTCATCTTCCATTTTTTCATTATCTATTTTTGGCTTAGTATAACAAGAACGACCAGCTCCTATTTAAACTTGCATTATGCCACATTGATCAGCAGTGAATTTTCGCTAGGCCGCTACAATCACTGATAAGGATGACATCGATGCGACTTAATGAGTCCCAAATATTAACTTTTTTCTTTCGTCATAATCGTCAAATTAAATTCTAAAACATTTTTTTTCATTTATTAGAAAAAAAATAAAGACGTTTGAATTATTTGTAGGTAAAAATCATTTCCTATTTAGTGTAAATGGGTATTAAAATAAGTAAAATTCACCATTTAGCCCGAATCAGTAACGTCTTATGTAAACAATGCACGTGCTATTGAGCCAATGATTGACGCCGCGTGATGAGACGTCACGTTTCCAAACAGTCATCTGTTACAGAGATATTAGAAGATCTCTGTGAAACAGATTGACATTATGCAAGAGCTAAATCTGCCTATTGCAGGTCTTTCTTTAGGCCTGAAATGTTATATAAACTATTAATTAGACATTAATTAACGTATCCAGACCATAATCAACTCTCGATGTCAACGCTAGCCTGCGATAATTGTTGGATTATGATCCGATTTGCTGCATAACTTTCCTTCTCGATTTAACGATTAAATGGATAATCGAGACTATAATTTTTGTCGTACCAACTTTAGTAATGATGACCGAGGCTATGTGGAACTTTCGATCGCTTATTTCTCGGTTCATAGTGGATCAATTTGACTGAAATTTTCAGCAAATTGCCTTTACATTATCTAGTTTTTAAATATTATAATGTATCTTTAATTATATTACACGGTTATTACCCAAACCTCGGGTATATCATAAATACATGTAAATTAAAATTACTTTTGTCAGCTTTGTTTGAATACTTGCCACCCTGTTATTCGGCAACATAAAAGTCTAAAACACCGGATATATGAAGTGAATATATATTAAAAAAAAATTTACCCCTACGCATTTTACGATTTAAAATGCAGAAAGGCAATTGTGGACCGATGGACTTACATAAAGTTATTAGTGATATGAGAGTAATCTTTTTTTTTTTAAATTTACACCCAATCTTTCAAAGCGAGAGAGAGAGTGAAATGGGGTTTAACGTCCACTCGACACAAACTCGGTCATTTCGGGACTAACATATGGTTTAATTTAATTTCAATAATTCGCTTGCGCGTAGGGGTCTTTAGCAGTGGGAGGAAACCGGAGGACCCGGAGAAAACCCACGAGGTTGGACAGGCGACCCTACTCCTTGTCACGTACCACTGGGGATTCGAAACCACGCCAGTCGACTTAATGACAGACTTTACTAACAATTCAGCCATCCAACCCCACTCTTTCAAAGCCTTTATCAAAATATTTAGATTGCGAAGCATGACACACAAAGATATGGATAGTGTAACTAAAATATAAATTTATAAACTAGTTTAATTGTCGTCACTTATTTGTCGACGTACTTACACATTTAGAATTCCGGTAATCTTCTGTGATCTATTTTGATACTTTGTAAAAGGCGTCGTCTCTTTCTTCCTTCCTTCATACTAAAAACAGTGATATGAGCTCATATTTTGTCAACCAGAAGATCTTCATTCCTCAAATATCGTCACACCTGGTTAAATACATACAGTGGCCCCATTAATCTGGTCTGCCCTCTGTTTGCCCCCCCCCCCCAATAATTTTAGAAAATAAAAAAAGTATTTGTGATACGTTTCGGTAATCAATACCTTCTACGGTGAATAAATCCCACATCCCCACTCAGTCATAAACTTGCATGTTGTAGAGCATTTCCGACAGTCTATTTTTCTAAATTTTCTTGGCGAGGTCCCCAATGGACTCGCTACTTTGGCGCTCACAAGGGGAATTCCTTGAGGTTCGCAAGTCCGTTCGTTTGACATTCTGTTCTCTAGTCGGATAAACTAGTGATCAGGCGACGGACGGTATCTGGTCAGATCTATTTATCTCGACGATCGGTGCCTGACAGAATACTGTAAGACATTATTTTCGGCAGTCTATTTTTCAAAATTTTCTGGGGGAGGACTCCGTTCGTTTGACACTTTACCTCATCGATCAGTGCCTGAAATACTACCAGACTGCATTTCCGGCAACCTATTTTTCAAAATTTTCTGGGAAAGGCCCCCTACCCCTAGTTGAAGCTCGTGCCTTTGCCCCCTTAACCTTGGACTTTGCCCCAGCTTTGCCCCTCCAATCACCGACGGCTGGCGCCGCCTCTGAATACATATGAAAAATATCTGAAGTCATAGACGGCATACAACCGTAGACATAGACTAGTTATAGACACATAGAATGACTAAACCATTTAAAGAAAAACACAGCTATGAACTTACTTTATTGCAGTGTTTCGAATTTCATCAGTCAAATAGCTGGCTTCTTTAGTGAGTTCTGCATAAAACTGATATTGACCCATTTATATCGCCTTACATGGGTATAATTATAGCTGACATAGTATGTAGTGCATCTAATAAGATCACGTGTTCATATTGCAAATATAGCTCACATACATACATGTAATACGATAACATTGTTAATCTAGGTTCACCATGATAAATTTACTAATAATATAGCGTAGGTTACCTTGTTTGTTCTATCTCGGTTCAGAGCTAATGTATGGTGGCCTATCGCTGTCATTCATTATTTTATAAAAAAAATATTAAATTAAAAAGATTATGTTAAGTCTGAAAATGAAATTAAATCGAAAAAAATAATAATAAAAATAAAAATTAATCATATTTCGAAAATAAACCTAAAATAAAATTACAAGCAGAAGTTAAATCAAATCAAAAAGAAGAATACCCTACGGAAGCGTATAGTGGTCATGAAAAATTTTGTAGAAGACCTCGATATCCTATACGCTTCCGTAATAATCAAATCAAAATTAAAATTAAATCAAAATCAAAATGAATTTCATATCAAAAATTAAATTAGATGAAAGTTAAAATCAAAATCAAATGAAAAGTCGAATAAAAATTCTTCGTGGCCTATCGCTATCATAGTACCCCATAATGCTTTGCAGCTTAGCACAATTGACCTAATTGAACTATAACCCGTTTTTGGCACACGGATAGGTCACTGATTAAACTCAAACCGTATCTATTATTGTGTAATTTGCTAACAAATATAGATATAAGGCAAAAACTAATTATTTATTGAAGTAGAACTATTATTGAAAATCAAAATTACGCAATTACTCTTCACTTTGAAGTTTATCAAAGTTAGTCGTCATCATCATCGCTGTGACTGCATGTATGCATCAAATTTGGTCTCTTTAACAGTCTTTTTGTTTCGTTTTCACATTGACTACACTTACAAATATATACTCTTCAGAAAAAGTAGGGAATATTGAAATGCAATACCTGTGCAGGCTGTGATATGATAAATAGTCATGGACACTTGACATGCTTTGAGAGTATGTTCACAGATGAAGAACTTATCACCCCAACAGAACCATTTTGTCTGTCAGTTTTGGTCCGATTTTTACGAAATTCGAACTCAACCCCCCTTAGAGTGTAACGGTGATATATTCAAATTGCTTTTTAAATCGGATAAAACTTATTACCTCTACAAGTTTCACAAGCTAAGAACGCGATTTTTCGTACAACCAGGGGCCATAATTCGGAAAGTTACGGTCCGATATGCGCGAATGTCGAAAGGAACCAAGATCTTTGGGTTATAAACTTACATTTCAAGTTTCAACAAAATCGGATAAAATTGTGACCTCTAGAGAGTCTACAACCTTGATATATCGTATTCTTACGCTATTTGAGTACGAGGGGCGGCCATTTTGTCTGTCAGTTTTGGTCCGATTTTTACGAAATTCGAACTCAACCCTCCTTAGGGTGCAACGGTGATGTATCAGGGACCATAA